TATTCTTATGAGCCGAAATGAATTTAACTGGACTGAAGAAACTAAACTAAGATAAAGTTACAGTATATAATAACTTGAGTTGAATTAAGTTGAAATAAGTCCAAAAGAACAGCCGCCTTACTATGCATTAAATTACTTGTAGCTATACTCCGTATTATCTATTAATCCAATTTGATTCATTATGATCTAATCTGGTCCGATTGAGTAGTACGTGTTAACGATACAAGGCCTTAATAGTAGTGTGAGTAGGGGGTTAAATGAGGACAGGTGGCCCCCGGAGAATAGGGAGTCATATATCTAAGAAAGAGACAAATACCTCGTGGCCGACAGCTATATGGTCACCTCCTTTCTATCTTTCTCATTTCATCCCTTACTCACTCACACACACACTCATCACTCACTCACTTAACTCTCTCACTCACTCACTTAACTCACTCACTGTCTTGTTCTGGCTGAACGAAGGTTGTTTTTATTATTGACTAATTGATCACACGTGATGCCTCTGATTTTTCCCAATTTTGTTTCTCACAATCTGCTATTCTCTGAAGCATTTAACTAATCCTGCTTACCAATTTACCATGCTCTTTGACATTTATGTCCAACAACATGAAAGAAAATGGTAACAAAGAATATGATGCATTCGACACATACTCATCATTGATGATAGAACATGCAGCTTTGTTGCATAATAACTATTACAGCTCCTACCCTGCTACCAAATACCGGTCGATAAGGCATTGTATCATCTATGCTAGCCTGCTAGGTGAGTAGGTGTACACGAATGTATAATAAAAATTACGGACCTTTATTCATTTATATTGTACTGTATATTTTTCATTAAAAAAACCTTTTTATTACGGACTATATAATTTTGAATATGTGAACCCTTTTTAATTATTGTTTGGAGAGCTATGATTTATTCTGTATGCAAAGTCGTAATTCCTCAATCATGATTAAAAATTCTTGTACAATGATTTAAGTTTAGAAATATTTAGTAAAAGTTTTATAAAAAAAAAGTTGTAAGCATCATGTCAATAGGTCAAAGTAAAACAAAATCTCAAAAATACAAATCAGAAACGTAAAATCTTCTCAGAAAATTGCCAATGAAAAAAGAGAGACGTGTATAATTATATGTTAGATATGTGAAAAAAATAATGGGGTTTGAATTTCATGTCTATATCCAATCAACATTATCCTAGATCTCACATAACATTTGCTTTGAGCTCAATTCAAGGATGTATTTATATAATATAATATCATATCATATTATATTATCTATCCCATTACCCTTTTTTATTTTTGAAAATTATAATTTTCTATATTATTTTTGAAATATTATTGAAAAGGTATAAAGGAGACAAAAAGGAACTTAGAAGATATATATTGGACCAATGTAATGAAGAAATGGACAAATATTTGTGTAGGAAAATATTAACAGGAGCGGACAATATATTGCCTAGTCATAAGGAGTTGTGGGTCCATATTTGGTTTGGGACCCACCCCTTGTTTGAAGGTCACTCCTAATAACTACGGAGTTCCAAGGTTGGCCTTGCTTAAGAAATAAGTACTCTTAACTCTTTAGTTAAATTAAAATTTCACAGAATATACAAAAGGCTGAACAATTAGTACATAACTAGGTGAGTTTCTTACGATGTACGGATTTAATAATAAAAAATTCAATCGTAAGTGTGTATTATGAATTTTTTAAGCAAAACATAAGAAACTGTGATCCCTCTCGTTAAATTTATTGAGCTAAAATGATGGACATAAATATACTAATTAACTTCATAACTATAATAAAATTTTAAAAATGTTAGCTTTATCTTAAAAAAAAAATAATAAAAAAAAAATATGTCAACAATAGTTTTGGAGGGAAATTTTTTATAAGAAGCTGTCACGTAGATAGTTATAATGTCAACGGTAATTACTTTAGTATTAGTTATAGAAGATTGGATGGTGAAGGTACATGCACAATGCACACTATGCGTCTTTTTATTTCTTTATTTATTTTTATTTTTTATTTTTTTACGAGCACTATGCGTCTTTGCATCCAATCAACATCAAGTATAAAACCAAAGAAAATGAAGAATAAAACAAATTAATATAAACTTTAATGAACATAAATTGGTAGACTCCAATGAATATAACTTCATCTTAGTTTTAGATACTTCATCAAAATCAAAGTTGTTGAGGATGATGTATATTGTATATACATTAACAATATAGAATGGCATATTAGGGTTTTTTTAGATGAAAAAGGTATTAGAGTAGTATGTAAAGTTTGATTTATTTTAAAAACAAGAACGAGGAGCATCACTAATTAATGTAGAAATCACACTAAGATAAAATTTACAGCATTTTATCAAATCTTATATGGCGTCCAAAATTTTTAGTAACAATACAATACAGCAAAATATAAGTATTTATTTTCATATAAATATAAGTATATAACTTTCTTCATAACTAAACACGATATAATTAACTTAATCATCAACGTGTATGTAGTAAAAAAAAAAATTAGTACTCCATAGCATACTAAGAAAGTACACCCCCATTAATCTCAAATTTAATACTCGTAGACTCGTAGTGTATGTGTTTGTGTTTTTTGCTACAACGGGTACAAACTTTAAAAAAGTATATTATTCTTAAATTTTCTAGTGACGGAATTAAATATGATGCATTTCTACTGTCGCATCAGAAATATTACATAGGAGAAAGGACAAATTAATGTTTAAGGGGTTTTTTACCTATGAAAATCAATTTTCCCACCCACTGCTCAGAGTGTGACATGACATTTAATTAATATATGAGTCATGCATTTATTTAAGGTCCTGTTAGGATTTTCTGATACTCAGAGTTTTATTATGGCTCTGTCTTTCTTTTTTTAAGTTGACCAATCCCATCTTCTTCTCTAGATTGACTCACCTTTAATTTGTCTTCACATTTTTTCTTTTTTAAGTACGTACGGTTTAATTTTTTTGCTTAATTTAAGAGCTGAAAAGGTTTACTATTTAATTAGTGTAACCAACATTATTAAGATGAAAGAATTGTGTCTATTATATTTTAATCATAGTACTAGCTATACTAAGGAGTATTTTGAATTATATGATGCAATAATTTAGGGTGGAGAGAGTATATAGTCTTCCTTGATCAATGTAAGACTCTCAATATATATTATATCTCGTATTGTCTTTCAGTAAACAATATAAAATCTAATTCAATTCATTTACTCAAATAAAAAATTAGTAATACTATTAGTAACAAACTACTATTCTATGGGTAGTATAATATCATCATTAACATCATGAAGATTTCTCTTGACCATTTTAAAATTAAGTGATTTTTATGTTTAGGGGATAAAAATACCGTATCTTTTTTGATGTTTTTCCCTGCATAGCTTGAGACAAGCATTCTCTTGAAGATGATTTAATTGCCACCAACATAATCTTGCATGAACTTGAGCAACTTTAAGAATCACTTCCTTGTTCGAAGGTAATACATTGACGTACTCGCTTATACTAGTTTTTTTTTTTGTTTTACATAAATGAAGTAAATTCAATCAATGTAACATTGTCGTTTGGTGAATTCAAATTACAAATGTTCATCCTTGCGAATATTATGCTATTCACATTGACTTTGACCGAACTGAAAGTTAGAATTGCATGCAACCAAGTTTTAGTGATGCTTTGAATGACTTATTAGGTTTTTTAAAAGTTAGATATGAGTAGTACTTTGCAGGGTCTCTACAAGAACAGCCCAACATGGTAGTATGGTACATTGTGAGTGAAATATGATTAATACATTACTAGCTAGCTAGTTACCACGTACACAAATTTAAAAGTTATCGCTATACATACACAAAGTGAAGCATAGCTTGGACTTAACAACTACCGAGTAATTAAGTAATAAGGCATGACAAGTAGCCTCATACTTCTACATTCCCTCCTTTGAGTCAAAGCTAATAAGGTTTTTTAATTTTTGGTAGACAAATTACATGATCATGAATAATATATACCAATCCACATTTCCTTAAACAATAAAGTTTAGCAAACACTAGAGTTAATCAACTATCTTATTAATATCATATACTAGCTACCTTTTTCGTTTCAATTAACTCATTAGTTTCGATCTATCTTATTTCAGTTAGTATGTCAAACATAGCCAAATTGTTTAGCGTTATTAGCCAGCACCAATTCCTTGATAGCTACTTTTCAAGATCTTACTCTTATAAAATTAAATCTTAAGCTCAAATTCTCCTTAATTGCACTTCATACGTCACAAATAGGAGAACTCAAACCTAGTCATATACTTTCAAGGTCATCTTATTAACCACATTGACATGGCTTAGCAAATTCATAAATCCCCATTGGAAGATCTCCCCATATAACCAACACATAAAAAGACAACGTCAAGTAACCAAAGAGTAGAAAAGCTCAACTTCAAGATACCAAGATTACTACTTTACATTATTAAGTAACAAAGAGAAAACTTGATCAAGCTAGTCATGACTCATTAGGGCACCTAATTTAACTCCTAAACCAAAAGACATATTTACCCCACTTAGCTTATCTAAATTATTGGATAAAATGTATTAGTCTTTTTTATGTACATAAGTTAATTAACTACGTACGATACAACAAAGCATTATTTAATAACTCATTACAAATGCACTATATATGTGGGTACTAATAATATTAGATAATTATAAAGTATATCTTAAAAACAATATGTTATCCACTTATCCACCGGTACAATTTTCTTCATAAGAAATTAAAATAAAAAAATCAATATATTCAACATTTTTTTAAATATGAAAACAACTAATCTTCAAATAAAATTAAATTAGATTATAAGACCCAAATAGAAATTCATACTTGAAGAAAGACTACGCGCTTCTAACACGCGTTGATCCATAGGTAAGAACATTAAATTATAAAATAATCATAAAATTAAAGTAACAAAAGAAATTAAAACAAACAAAATAATACTAGTATAATAATTCTTTTAATAAAACAGAAGGCTTCAATTTATAATTTCATGTATATTTAAACTTTTAGAGGGGGATAGTGTGTGAGAGAAATGACTGCGTCTCTCTCTTTCTCTCTCTGAAATAACTTTCTCTCTCCTCTTTTCCAGCTTAGCTTCTTCCTTTCCTTTCTCTGTACTCTTACCCCCTCCTCTAATCTTTCTTCTATTTTTTATTTTCTTTTTTTTTTCCTTTGTTTTATTTAATTTTCTTTTTATATAAACTTCGACTTCTGGAGCTCTCCTTTTCCTTTCTTCATAAAATATTCTTCAATCTTAAAAATAATCCCCCACCCAAAAAAACAAACATTTTATTTTTAAAAAATAGAACTGTTCTTCTTCCATCCTCTTGTCTAGGCTATTATAATTTTTTTTATAAGTTAAGTTTACTTTAATTTATTAAAAAAATTCAAGTCCTAGTAGTTATTGTGTGTTATTGAATGCTGTTGTTGGAATGGCTGGCTTAGATTTAGGCACAGCGAATCGTTATGTTCATCAACTTCATCATCAGGGTCATCACCGGCCCGACCTCCACTTACAGCAGAGGTCGGACCCGTCTGAAGACGACGATAACAACAACAATAACAACAATATTGATCATGATGAGCATGACCACCATGGGTTAGACCTAGTCAACGTTTCCGGGGGAGGCTCAGGGCAATCTGGCCCCGGAGACGTGGTAGGTCGTCGACCTAGGGGTAGACCCCCTGGGTCGAAGAATAAACCTAAACCTCCAGTGATAATAACTCGGGAGAGTGCTAACACTCTCCGAGCTCATATCTTGGAGGTAGCTAGTGGTTGTGATATATTTGACTGCGTTGCCTCCTACGCTCGTAGGAGGCAACGCGGGATCTGTGTCCTTAGCGGAACTGGGACAGTTACAAATGTTAGTCTTCGCCAACCCGGAGGAGGAGGCGGGACTAGTGGTTCAGCTGTTGTTACACTACACGGTCGGTTCGAGATCCTTTCGCTCTCCGGCTCGTTCTTACCCCCACCTGCCCCGCCTGGAGCCACCAGCCTAACCATATTCTTGGCTGGTGGACAGGGGCAGGTGGTTGGTGGGAACGTAGTCGGTGAGCTCGTAGCTGCGGGTCCCGTTATCGTCATCGCCGCCTCCTTTACCAACGTCGCTTATGAGCGGCTGCCGTTAGAAGAGGAGGAATCAGCAGCGGCAGCAGCAGGTGGTGGAGGTGGGGCCCTCCAGATGCAAACCGGACCAGCCGGTGGGAACGGGGCCCAGTTCCCAGACCCATCTTCAGGGTTACCTTTCTTAAACTTGCCCCTGAATATGCAAAACTGCCAGTTGCCGGTAGATGGATGGGCTGCTGCTAATAACAATTCAGCTGGTAGACCTCCATTTGGATAATACAAATTAATCAAAATGAAAAACACCAACAACAACAGCAGCAGAACCAGCTTGTTTTATTTTTATTTTATTTTTATCTTTTATCTTTTTAGTTTAGAAAGTTGAATTGATTAGCTAGAGTACTTCAACTCAAACTCCATCCATTCCCAGCCATTTGATGTTGATGACAACAACGATGATGATGAATGATGATCAAACGGCTGTAATTTCTCGCCTTCGCAACGGCGACATTTGAAGGATCATTCAGCAGGTCAGCCAACAATAATAATAATCCATGGTACTATCATGTAACTCTTTGTACTTTTTTTTTGGAAGTAACTTCCCTTCTTTTTCTTTGTATTTTACAAATTTTGGAAATAGTCTTTTCTATCTCTCTTTTTTTTTTCTTAAGCTCCATTTTTCTTGTGTGTTTGATGAAGGAATCAACTTGTTTGTTTATGTCTATCTTAATTATAATTATTTCAGTGAGAATTATTAAAAAGAAATTGATGTGTGAGGATTGTTGACACAGTTCTAGATGAATCTTAATTTCGATAATTAATATTCATACATACATGTTTTTCTTAAGATTAATTTTTAGCTAATTAATTAGTCTTTACCTATCCACAATCATCCATAACAAAATATATAATCCTTGTTCCTATTGTTAACTAACCCATATATATATATACATAAATAACTTCATTATCTAATCATAATATATAGTTTTTAATGAAATCTTGTATAGTTTAAGAACATGTTCCATCATATTATATATATATGATGAATATTTGGGAAATGAAATTGTTACAATTTACAAACATACATCATGTGCATCAACTTTAATTTTTTTATAAAAAATATTTGCATTGTTTTCAGGGAGAAGTAATAAATACTATAGTAGAGAGTTATAAAAACAATGGGAAAACAAAATTGGGCATTTGGGTTTACTTCTGAGTAAGAAGGATTCTTCTTGTCCTACCAAAACATAAACATTCACAAGTTTTCACTAAAATTGTTAAGAATTTATTTTCTGCTACTTAATTTTTCTCCTGTTTTTTCTACAATTTGGGAACTGTCAATTCTTCTAGAACTTCTGCACCTCTTCTTTATCCCATTTTTATTTTATTTTTTCTATTTATAATTGCCATTTTCTAGGCAAAGTAATAAAATTATACTTCTATTTTAAGGGGAAGACATAGGAGAAAAAATCTATTTTTGTTTACTCTTTTTAGCATATTTTTTAGGGCTTTTTATAGTTATGTTTTGATTTTTGAAGCATGTGGTTTGTATAATTCTTTGGACTCATATATATCCATAAATTAAACTATACTCATTCAGTCCTTAAATAATAGATCATGTTTGATTGAAAGTTATTTTCAATAATTTGGGTTGAAAATTCGTGATTATCCATTACGGAGTAATAACCAACATTTAACTACATTATCGTTATGTGTTGACTTCATTATATATATTGGATCTATTTTATTGATTTATGGTACTTTAAATTGAAGTTTTCTGTGATTTTCCTGAATTAATTAAAATACTTCAAGTATTTCAATCTTGCTGCTTTACAGGTTCTGGATATATACTTGAAATATAAAATATTTTTGTTAATGAATTAGATTTAGTACAATCAATTTATGTTTACATGGATGCTTAATTATATATAGATTACTACAGTAGAACATTATCTGATCTTCAGCTACTTACTTAGTCTGATACTATTTTAAAGGGAAGTTCTATATATATTAATTAATATGATCTTATTTTAATTTTCTTCTAATTCCACCTTTTTGTTTTTAAATGGCAGCAACATTTGATAATAAAGTGTCATATTGTATAATCTTATAATTTTCTGCTTAATTATTAAGAAGTAGCTAATGCTTAATATGTCTACCCTATAAAATAATTTCAATCTTTGCCCTATATTTTTTTGTGTGTGTTTCGATCTACTGATTCAAAAGACTAATTAAAAACAATGGTTTCGCCGAATTTAATTACATATTTATATCCAAGTTGCCGTGGGATGCGCTAACATGAGGGATTGAGGGAGTTGTTTATTAACTAGCTCCTTTGTCCTTAGCTCCACAACCATGCTAATTGTCAGTTAATTATTTATTAATTATCTTGTTCATCAACTAATCCAGCCAATGTATGGCCAAAACGAATAAACAACATGTCACTCCGGTATCTCCGATCGGTGAAATAGAGTCAATTAGCCAAGAGTAAACTTCCAAAGCAATGATTTATATCCATTAACTATTAATTTAGCTTTTGGTTAACTATGGTCCCTTTAACTTAATTATTTATGGATGACCATTACCTTTATTTGTTTTGGTTACATTGATTGTGATATGACCTAATTTATTCATATTGTGTAATAAGGTTGATTGTAATCTTCTGATTATATGTAGTGGATATGGAAGTATGATATATGTCATGGATGAATTAATTTTATCCATTATAACCTTAATGTGGTTCTTTAATAATTTGTGATCTTACGTATGATCATACAAATTAAGATTCTTTAAGATTTCTTTGATGAACTATATGTTTTTATGTATGATATCAAAGTCCACTGAATTAAAGCAAGTTAGGGTTCAATGCTAGGGTAAGCAATGCAAGGGATATAACTCAAAGCTAGGGACAATATATAATGGAGCAATCTTTTGAGGTAGATGTATATACGATGTATTATACTTCGTATCATCAAATGCATCCATGTCCTATGTACCTTTGTTTTGACTAATATCAACACAATAATTAATTTTGGATGGGGTGAGTTGAGAGTATAATTATGTATTATATATAGAAGTACGCATCTGGAACTGAATTGTATTATCATCAAACTATATGATTAATTAACATGCCGATGATCTTGGCTAGGGCAATATATATGTTGTGTGTGCTCAAACTTTTTTTAATTATATTATTTTTTATTGACATATATTTGCTCAATAAGTAGAAATAAAGTATATTACAAATTATCGGAATAAGTTTATTAAAACGGGAGTTAGTAGCTCCAATATTACAACAATTACAATTTAAACTGAACAACTTCTTCCTAACAAGAGTAAAATAATGTTGATATTAAGATCTTTGCATTTATAATAGCGAAAAACCTTTTCTAAGCTCATATATGTGATCTAACAGATTCATATTAGATTAAATCTAGGGAAAATACATGCATATATTATCTCAACCTCTTAATTAGGCAATCTTGATAGTTTATTATGCTTTATGGTACGGTAGTCAAGCTGCAATTTCTCAGGTGTGGATATTGAAGTTTTATAATTATAATTTTCGCCGTATCAACTAAAAATTGTTCACTTGTTCAAATCTCCCTCTAATCTAGCTAATTGATATCAAGCATATATACACATACGTGTTTCGAATTCCTCTTAGACAATTAATTTATAGAAACTTATACGTTAATGAGCTCCCTAAGTATGTTTTAATGCATACAAAAGCAAACATAGGAAGCATAATATTCATCACAAGCAATGCAAGGAGAAAGGAGGGGGCGATAACTGGACCTATAGATATTGCAGGTTTCATATTAGAAGACAAGATCTAATTACTTAGTTATAATATCATTGTAATGTATATTATATAATAGATTTCAGTTTAAAGATTCAATCAGCTGACCACACATTTGTACACTTTCACCCTTTCAGAAGGATTAGGTTTTTCAAAATTTGGATTAAAGTGAGGGCTTTGCTTCGTTAGAGGGATAAGAACAAATTAAACCTTAATTAAGATCTTAAGAATATAGCTAGGCTAAAAAAAAAGAGTTGATAGTAATTTTAATGGCCGTTTATTGATACCTTGATATTTAAGTATACCACGAAGGAAGTAAAGCATATGGTAATGAGTTATTTGAAACTTTGATGTGTAAACACAGTTTCGATAATACTACATACGGAGTAGTACTTACCAAATATGCCGTGCGCAAGTGTTTTCGAAAATAGGTTTGCTATCTCTAAGTTTCTAAAATCGAATTCATTGATGATTTAGGCTTATAGCAAAAGCCAATACATTTATGTGAAAGTTTGTTGAGATTTGCTTTGCTGAATTTGGGCTCTTTGCTTGCTTTTGCACCAATTCATAATATAAAGTGGTAATTTACTTAGGACTTTAACGAAAATAAGCTAATGTTATTATAGATTTCATGACCATTAACCGTTGCATCTATATATATATATATGTTCCACTAATTTATATTTAATAAAATGATACATGAATATCTTAATTAATGGACCATACTACAATTATTTAAAATCTGTTGACCTAGTGATTCAATTTTCTTAATTTATTTGGTTGTTAAAGCTAAATAAGTTATTAGTGAAATTATGTAAAATGATGATGAGAGAGAGAGAGATGTAAAATGATTATTGGAAGGTAAAGTGGAATTAAGAAAAGGTAGTTAGGACATTAAGATATTAGCTTACCAACTTCAAATATGATAAAGCAAAGAAACAACGAATAATGAAAGGCAAACTTGGAATAGAGAATATGTTGACTAAGTCTTGTGTTCTTACAATATTAGATTAAGACATCTATTATATGCATGTTTACACACATTATTTAGACAATAATAATAATGCTGTTATGTTTATCCAAGTTGTCAACTAGTGAACTAATATAATGGTTATACCAAGAAACATCTAAAACTGTGTATTATACTAATATAAATGATAAAATTAATATAAGGAGTCATGTTCATCATGAGCTACATAAGCTAGCTAATGAAATTTTAGCAACTCCGATCCTCCAACCTAAACTTTATGCAAAACATGTTTAATTATACACTAAATATCATTGTGTACAGTAAATGATGATGTTGGCAACAATAATGAAGCCAACTTGTAATAATTAAGACCCTTTTAATTTAATTTATACTTTTTTTTGCTTTTTGTTAATGGACTTCCTCAATAGATGAACTAAATTAAAGTCACAAATTGCAATATTTTTTGGTTCTCCCGACCCCTTTTTGCTGTTAAGATCTTCTCATTTGCATTTTGCATGATGCATACCTTTTGAACATTAATATTATCTGTTAATTAATTAATATATTAAAAATATAAATTAAAACAAATTTAACAAATATTCCGCATATGAATATCTTTCTTTGAACATATGAATACGTAGTAGATAGAAATATGTTAATTAGATGATGAAAAAGTAACATAAATTAACATATGGTCACCATTTTCTAGTAACATAACAAAGTATAATTTAAATAAAAAGTTTAGTTATCATGTCTCATAAAAGGCTAGATATGTTGAAGAGTAATATTGATGTAAGTGATGTAACCAGTTTATGTCAATCAAACAGTAGGCATCATGGTATGATGAGAATGATTAGTACATTTTTTACGATATTCATTATGAGCATGAGCTAGTATAAAGCGTGAGTAGAAGTATAGAAGAAGCTTCTAATTAATTGAGAGACATAAAGAACTTAACTTTCTCTACATTTGAGAGGAATAAGAACAACATGCTAACTCTACTTGTACTTCAATCTTTCCTTCATTCTTATAGCTTTTTTGGTACTTCTGTTCTAGGGCATATACCTTACAATCGCCTTTCTTATTCATTGGGGGAGTTGGGTGGCAACCTTGTATGACGTGGTAGTAGTGATGTAAAAAAGATTCGATCATAAGCCTTAGCTTGTACATTTGTTATTTAAGATCGAGTTTTAGCATGATTAGCGAAATTAGTTTTTGTCATGTTAAATATAATAACCTATTAACTGTAGAAGCTATTGGATCTTTTACTTTTGTAAGTAGTGAGATACTTGCTGTTAAAGGTTAATAAATTGCCAAAGTCATTTGATGTATATATACTTTTATAGATTAGTTTTTGCACAACATACACTAAATGTTAAAATAGTAATTAAAGCTAAATATAATACGCCGTAGCTTTTACTAACCACTGCTTTAAAGCTAGCTAGTTATATTGATTTTTATATTGAAAAGTGAATGTACTACCCTTCACTACTATATCGAACAAAGCGCAAATACGCTCTTGACCAATTAAGTTAGTTAGCATTCGTTAAAACTATCATATGATGGATCTAGAGTTGCAGAGCCTAAATAGAAGTTTACACGTACAATGGTGCTTCATTTCCGATTGGGCTGGGCATACGATTAGTTGGATGTACATAGGGTCTCTCACCCTGATAACTATTGTGAAGAGTTTACAGTTAAGTAGAGTTCAAGGTCGAACCACAAAACTATCCAATTCCATCTATGAAATCTACACATTATTAACACCCCCACTTTTGATTAGAGTTAAAATTAGCCTCTTTTATAACATAGAGCTTGGTATGTATGATACGAGAGTAATTAATTTTCGTTAATAACTCCAATAAAATTGCATAACGTACAAACAATATCGATCAGTCTGTTTAATAAATGATGATAAAAAGTGTAACAACAGCATAAATAAACACAACCACCCCAAAAACCTAATAAAGCGTTTTTTTGTAGATGAAAGTAGTAATTCAGAAGTTCATAAATCACAACACATGGTAAAGTAACGAATCCTGCTAGTTACGTTTCAAACACAATAATGGACTTGGGTTTAGTTAATATAAGTTAAAGCTGTCTTGGATAAATATAACTAAGAGCCCAAATATATGAAGGTCATGAAGGTTTGAGATAAATAGGGCCTTAGCCTAACATAAAGCCCACCAATGAAAGTTCTACTTTTTTTCCACATGACAGAAAATCGGAAATGCCATTGTTACTTGTTAGGACGAAAATTCATAAAGGCTTTAATTTAGGATGTAAATAGCAATTGGAAATTTTTGTAAGGGAATATCTCTATATTTTTTTTCATCTTCTTTTAAAGGATATTTTTAATATGGTTTATCTCCTATAGTCGATGTGTTTATTGTCTGTGGACACATGTTAAGTTACAAAAATATACTTGTATGTTTATCCCTTTAAATAAATACAATATTTTTATATTGTGTAAGTTAATGAAAAAAAAAGGTTAAATAACGGTGAACTCTTGTGAGACACATATAAACATAAAATTACCTCAACTTGTATTGCTCTCCAAACAATATGATCTTATTTTAATTATCAAATTGAATGTATTCAAATAGTACTTGGTACATTGATAAAGTGCGTTCTAAAATTAATTTGTAGCTAAGTGTTTGTATCCCAATGCTTTCTATTCTTTAGTTACAAACAAACAACGACCATCTTATTTAACTTTCAAGCCGTCATTGTGAATGAGCATAATAGTCGATTTTAGGATTTTTTTTTTTTTTTTCGATATATTTTAGGTGACATGTTTGTTTATGCGACTAAGTTTTTTATTACAGATAGTCCATTTGTGTGAGTGTCTGAAAGTATGTATTCATAAATCAATGAAACAATGACCAATTGTAAGTGTGAAATGTCTAATGGACAACCCATAAGGGAAAATAAATAATTACTTAAATTCTATCACATGATGAAGCTAAACACTTATTTGTACTATCCTTGTACCATAAATCCATAATACATTAAGAATGGAGGGATTGGATTAATTTTAAAATAATAACAAAGTATACTAAAATTTCAAACGATCAATACTTGTTTTTATTTAATCACAAGGTATACACAATTATGACAAGAAATATTAATCACAAGTGATTCAATAATATTCTCAAGATTAATCAAACTTGAGATTAAACCTGCCTACCCCAAGTTAAGTAGTTGAGTATATATCATACAAGTATATCCATACAGTTAATCTACATACATATATATATTAATAATCTTGAGCATAAAATTCTATAATCTCCATAACATTAAGCTTGAAAAAAGAGGAGCAATCATTATACATCAACCAAAGCATATGCTCAAACAATATAGCATCCACATCAACAAAAATCACCCTTTTTGTAGAAGACTTATTTGTTATAATACCATCCATATAATTCTCCAACTCCCTCTTATTCTTATGATCATGTTTGTGATGACCTTGCATAGCCAACTCAATCAAAACTCGAAACGGGCTCTCTTGTAACACAAATGGATCCACCAAGAATTGCCTTCTTTCTCTTCCAACCACCACCGTTACCAATTCACCATCGGATAGCATAGCATCATCGTCCAAGGACCGGTAGCCTAGTCTCGAGCTCAAGTACCTCCCGGAGCATCGCCTCACTAGAACCGAAACTGGCATAACCAAGCAGTCCATAATATATGTAGTTCGTGTATTGATAGAGAATATACGCAGATATAGTAATGATGGAAGAATTGGTAGTGGTGGTATATATGGTAATGAAGGGGTCAAATGACCAAAAGTGGGGTATTTATGTACATTGTGAAAGTAGTTTGCTTGTTGGATTGAATGATTTAAACGCGGGAGAGAAAATGACATATTGAGGTGCTAGTGTGCTACAAATTGGCCTACCAACGGTTAGTATAATGACTAAATATATGTGTCATAATGTGTACAGCTTGGGACCTTGGATACGCAATGAAACTGTATAACACGGTAACACCGTGTCTATAATTTATTCGGTTATTTTATATATGAGTATATTTTTTCCGTTTATTTCATATTCTTGTTTGAAATTTTTACAAGCAATGTACAGTAATTAGAATACAAACTTTCTGAAACCAAATAAATACATATAGAATAGTAAATATGTTTGATTTGTCTCAATATGTAGATTTAAAAAGTTAATTTTTTAAAAGCTATTTATAATACATATTTAAAAATACTTATGCTTAAATAAGTGTATTGAATGATTTACACAAAAAAGTAAGTAGGAATCGCTAAAAGAAAGGAGGGAATACAATGTTTTGTTTTTCAATTTTGTGTTTGGTACATGTACATTAGGTCACTTCCAAGAAAAGAGTTGTTGAAGAAATTGCTAGATAATGGAAGGTACTACTCCACCATATGATTAATATTCCTTTTCAGACGGTGTATTTTCAACCAAAGTTGTTTTTTTTCGTTTGGTTGGTTATTTTTTTTTTTTTTTTTTTTTTTTTGAGTAATCGTTTGGTTGGTTATGAAACAGGTATGTATTGATGAAGAAACTCTTAAGAGTAGACTACGGTCACTCTAAGAGGAGCGCGCAATAACTTTCACTATCCTCTTGGAGAAGCTAAGTTGAATAATGGCCCAAGGCGGTGATTTCTTGAAGAAATTATAGTAGTGGGTGCATTATGGGATCTACTTAAGGCGTTACAAATTATTTAAAAATAGTTTATTAGTCATTTAAATACTATTTTAAAAGAGTAGATGATTTCCACTTGCTAAGTTTGTCTTTCGTGATCTCATAGGACATATAAATATCAACAGTTGTCAACCTTATCGGTTTAGGAAATGTTCCAACTTTAAAGGTATGGTAAATAAGGTGCTTTATACATACTTAACATAGTTGATTTTCAAGAAGGTAATGAAAAGAAACCTACTTCAAAAAGAGTAGAGGAGAAAAACCTTCCAAAACATCCTTATCCACGAGTAGACTCTTAAATCTCATACGTATGACGTTATTCATCAATATATAAAGTATTATTGTATTTTATACATGCATTTTTGGCATGCTTAAACATAATACAGCTCCTAATTAAAGTATAAGCTAACTAATTGTCCACATTGATGATTTTGGTAGGTTAGGTGGTAAGGCATTTTCCATTCCCAGTCTCAGATTGAATCTTCCTAAACCCTCTCCGCCATACAATTTCTGAACATGTACTCTTAGACACGGGTTAGGCAAACCATTTTTGAATTATCGATCCCCCCTTGCTATAGATATGGTTGAGTTGGTTGTTACATAAAATGAAAAGGTTAACAATGGTCAATTAGTCATGGTGCATCTCAACCAAAAATTGAATTGGCTTGATAATGCATGTCAATGTCACACTTAGGCACTTAGCTTGAGACAAACAAGCTAAGCTAAGCTAAGGTAGTTAATAAATCACCTACTAACATACAAATACTAATATTGTACGCGTTATGACAGCTTAGCCGACCAAAGAAGCCCAATTATCTGTAAGGTCAAAATATATTTACCTGTTCTTGAGTTTTTGGGAAGTTTACCTAAAGTTAAGCTTCATCTTGACCTTCGTATCTTCGTGATTTCTCTATAGAAACAAATAAGTTGACTTGTTCCTTTCTACATGTATATTCTACTTCACAGTTTGGTGCGTAAATATACGTGGATTCTAAGCTATTATTAGGAATTATTTTTGACAGTCTTCACAAGTCACAAGGGAAAGAAAAAAATTCAGATTGCATGGTCTCCTCAATTAGTAGGATTGTAATTATTAACTAACGCACAAATTTAATCATTAATATTTTATTAATAAAAATCACAAATTGCTAGTGAGGAATTATATATATATATATACTACAAAAGTCCAATGGTTACAATTATAAACGAACCTAAGAAGTAATAAACCTTGATGTTCATTATCCTATATTTGGCAGAAAAGTGGTTATGATTTTCACCCTGCACAATGGTCTATAACACACGCTTTTCACATTCAAAGACACGCTTGGATTAAGAATAACATAGTAAGAAGAAAATGGAGAAAAAATTGAAAGAATGATGAGTTTAGTAGGTGATCTACAGAATTATGTGGTACGGCCGGGCAGTTACACCCTCATTTCGAGGTTATACATGACCCTATGTGATGATGGGCAACTATAACGCCAAAAATGAGTAAACTTGTGAGACAAAGTCAACCAAAATTTGCTCAAAGTTGTGTACACCACTACACCCCTCATTTCCAAGTATGCTCAAAACTCCTAATTATTGCCCACGGTCCATACACTAATTCAGAACATGGCAACTTGACAACATGTCTTCAACAATGAAATAGACATCTTTTGCAACTTTTACACTATTATAATCATTTTTAAAGGTTGTCATCTAGCCTAATGGAACTTTATGGCAGAACTTTACATAATTTTTTCCATTTCAAAAGTGATTTTGGTGGGTCTGTAACACCCAAAAAAAAAATGAAAACAATAAGAATAATGTAAAGGTTTTGAGCTTTGAGGGATCGCAATTGGGACCTGATAACACTGGCACAAAACATCCAACACTCCAAATCAAATTCAACTTTGAAACCCCTGTTGCACAAAATCATTCCTAAGAAAAGTTCTACATTTCGAGTCAGGAACCCATGGTGGCATCAGATTGGATAACATAAATTCGATCTCATACTGATGACTATGTGCAAACGATGCCAAAAAGGGTGTGAAAAACTCAGCTTTAACACCAGGGTGATAATTTCATTTACCTACAACGAAAGGGGGGGAAAGGGAGGGAGGGGGATAAGACACGAAATCACCTAAATATAATTAACAGATAAAAGAAGACGGAGGTAAAGCCAGTAAGAAAAGCTAATCTAGGATATATGCTTTAGACTCTGCCTGTTAGAATCTGAAATCAGCCTTGGAACACCAAGAAGACAATCAGCACTCTAGTTTTGAAGCATCTTTGAACCGGAGTTAGGCCCCCAGCCCATAGGTGTATACATTTGCATATTATGCATGGGATGATTGGAATTGCCATAGGATCCCATGGTCCTGTCAATGTGATTACTACCATTCTCCTCAGATCCATCACTTGAAACCTCATGAGAGGGGGGACTTTCAGCAGCCGGTAGTGCTGGTGCAGCAAAGTTCAACACATTAGAGTGAGGAACTGAGGGCATGTACTTTGTCTTTTTCCCATTTGCAATGAAGCTACCCACAATTATCTGACAACAGCTTTCGAGTTAGGATGCATAAAAATGAAATTGCCCAAATGCTCGACAACATACGAATGCACAATAAATGGTATATCACTATAATTTAAACCCCCCCCCCCCGGGATGTTGACAAACACAATATTTCTGAAGTTGAGCTGACAGAAGATGGTGCGTCCACAAGAATCTCTCCCCTCAAAGAAACAAGAAGTATAAGAGGGGATATATCTGACACGGCATATCAATTCGAATACTGTTGCAACCTAGCATGGCAAGATAGGCAAACTACTTGGTCCTACAATATGCTGTTTAGCAGTCACCACAACTTTCTGAGAGAGTGTAACTGTTACATAATAATTATAGGCATTATCAAACTTCTTGCACTGAGGCAAATCTCATAAGGATCCCATGATCCTGAACCGTTCTTACCTATGGAAAAGAAGAGATCAAGAAAGAATTCCTCTACAAGAGTACAGAATTACAGAAGGAAAATTTGAACCAACAGGTGTTTGAATATAGATTAGGTTATAAGGTTAACTAATACTTCGTATTATCTTCAAGCATTGAACTAAACTTCACATGGTAAGAAGAATGCGAATATAATCATGTAGACACAAGGTACAATTCACACACAAGGCACAAGAAAAAAGCCGAATAATATACACAGAAATGTACACCCTCCGTTTCATAATAAATGCCCCAGATTGACTTTTGCATACAACGCTTGTACCAATGTTTGTGCTTTATATAAGATTAGATGTGAGTAGTTGTTAGAATCGTCTTAGTGTATAGTTTCTAAATATCAATTTTTAATCATTTATACTTGTTAATAATTAAAGATATTATTGGTTAAACTTCTGCATTGGCAAATGTGCCAGTCAAACTTGGGGATTTATTTTGAAACAGAGGGAGTAGGAAGAACAATGAACATGACAGAGATATAAAAGAATGTGGATACCTGAACAGGAGAGGCAGCCACAAGCATCCCGGCAACACTACCACCTAACACTCGGCCATCTGAGCCAGCCAGAGATACACTCAAGCCACCTGATCGCACTTGGCCACCAGTATTCTCTGAGAACAGGAATGAACCTGACAAAGAAATAATTTCAAACCGTCCCTGCAACACATGTATCACAACTACATCAGTAAGAGAAATGGAAAATGCACCCCAAAACAAGCAATAAACTTACCAGCATAAAGTGTGAGAATATTAATCCTATCTAAACAACGTAAAAATTTCCTCATGAGAGGAGTCTAAACAATGTAATTAAGTGCAAAATAATTAATATCAGAAGAACATAAAATCTAAGTAAAATGGAGCAATATGCCTTAATTAATTGTAAATTTCTGCCAAACCATGAGTTAGTAGTAATCAAGAGTGTAAATCAAAGTTAAACCATGAATTTGAGTATTTTAACAAAAACTGTAATCAAGAGTGCAAATTAGGGTTGATTCATGAATTTGAATAATATAACAGAAACTGAAGAGAACCAACATCAAAGCCTTAAGAATCAAGGAGAGGAAGAAGAAGAAAAGAAAAAAATATCCACGAGCCCGACTACCTAAAATGCTAAAAAATGTGTTTGGACATCCAAGATTTACATGCTAGGGAAATTATGCCAAAAAATCTCTTCATTGCAGCAATTCTTTA